TCGTGGCTGAGGCAGCCTGACCTGCGCGCCTGCAGCTGTTGGGTTTAGCTTTGTGCCAGGTACCTGGGGCTGGTTTGGGGTGAGTGAGCGGAAAAGTAGAAGGTAGGAGCAAGGAGGGGTGGGAGACATGAGATGATCTCTGTGTTCAGCAAGAGAGCTGAGTGGGGCAGACCTACCGGGAGAGCTGTATGAGCAAAGCACCGTGCATAATTGCAGCACGCTTTTTGTTCATCAGAGTGTAAGGTTTTCATGTGAAGTCTGCCCAGAGCACAAATTAGTAGCTTTTTCCTGCGGCTTTGGTTGGTTGGGTTTTGTTTTGTTTTAACGTGTAAACACAGTATAAACTTGGTAGTCTGCATACTCCAGCGTCTGTACAAAAACGGCAGTACTCTCCTTGGTGTGCAGTAGTGAGTTGTCACCACAGCTAGCTTTCACGCTGGCATGAGTGGTGTGACTTGTCTGCACTACCAGCCTGACAAGTTCGTACTGCGGTAGGCTTGAGGAAAAAAATCAGTTTAAAACAATCTGCAGATACGTGTTAAAGCCTTGACCGGAGCTGCGGCTGGGGTCCCAACTCCAGTCTTCTACTCGGTGTTGACACCAAGGTTGTTTGGAGATGCACAGTGCCCATCTGCTTACCCTTCTGAGTCTGTCAGTTCTCCAGTAGCCCAAGCTGTTGAGTAGGACAGGAGGGAGTTTGGGTAGCAGGTGAGCCCCATGTGCACACACAGTGTTTCATTCACATTCTGCATCTGTGAACTGCTGGCTTATTATTTCTTTCAGGCCCGTATGACTGAACACAAACCAACCATGCCTCTTCCAGAAACCATGTTTTGTGCTGAGCAGATAAGAATCCCCCCCGAGCTACCTAATATTCTGAAGGAATTCACCAAAGCTGCTATTAGGACTCAACCTCATGATGTTTTGCAGTGGTCAGCTGCGTAAGTATAATGTTCACATAACAATGTAGTGTTATGTATATGGACACACAAAATCTCACTGCTGTTTATTGTACAGTGAAGCTGGCTTTGACTTCTAATCCAACCTGTATATTGCCTGCGTGCATCTGGGCCTTTTAAAAATGGTGTAGTACTTGATATGTTTCACTGAGGTTTAGGACTGGCATATTTCTGGAATAGTTTGGTTTCCAGACAGAAAAATGCATCTTAATTTTTTTTTTGTTATTAATTTCTCTGCCCTGAAGACCAGATATTTTTCTTTTTTCTTTTTCTTTTCCTCCTTCTCTCATGCGAGACATAATTCTTGTAATTTAAGGGAAACCTAGAAAATAGCTTTCTCATTCTTAAGCTTGCTTAGGTTTCAGTTTTTTGTTTCCACAAGACACAAAATTAAGGAGTGTCCTTAAATGTTACTGAAATAGGAAAAGTTTCTGAAAAGTTGCAACTTATAGGGGATAGTACACATAATAAACCTCTCACTGTAAAGTTGATTTAAGATGCTTAAATATTTCTTCTTTAGCTTCTTTTTTCTTTTACCTCAACTGCTCACTATCGTTTTTTCCTGTTCGTGTGGACAAGCTCTTGAAAGGTATCTATCTGTGAGATGTTCTCAGTTGGGGGGATGGAAAAACCTCTGTAATGTGTACCTGAGGGAGGGGAGGCTGTTGACAAAGCCAGGCTGGAGTGGGGCTTGTCCATTAAAGAGAAAATATAGCCCTGAAGCTGAATTGCTACAGCTGCAGTGTGGAGAAAGGCAGCGGGACCATCCCAAAACGGCATGGCCTGCCTTGGGAACGAGATGGAGGTGGGATGTGGCGTACCTCTGGGTGATGGATATGCAGTGAGTTTGCCCCAGCTGAGCAGTCGGAAGCAGCAGATGCTATGGAAGGCAGCCTGAGCCTACGAGGGTATGTGGCTGGTGAGAGCAGGGGCAGTGTGGCACTGCCATGGCCATGCTGCCAGCCGTACCCCAGCTTCTGCTTGAAGACTGCACTTGCTCGGTGGGAGGAATCCCTGCAGAGGGGGAAGTGGTTGCTGCTGATTGCACATCGCTCTTTCTGGAATATGCTCTGGTGTGAGAGCACCTGTGGCGGAGCAAGGTCTGGACCTGGGAGCCACATGAAGTAGAGCAAAGCTGTGGCTTCACACTTGCTGCCAATGTAGTAGTGCTTGTCCCTGTGAATAATCAGAAGGGGAAATAGATCTGGCTGAAAAATAGCCCAGATGTTCTATGTATATACATGTAACATGTTATATGTACACACATACCATGCCTCTGTTTCTGAACAGCCACGCTTAGCTCTGCCGTGCTGCTTGCTGTGCATTTTGGCAAGTACTGGGACAACATGGGGTAGCCTTGGCATGGACATGGGTGCCAGGGCAGGTGAGGGAGGATGAATGGAGAAACCCTTAAATTAGGCCTACTACTGACTGAGTGAAAACTGAGTTTTGCTTGCACTATTCAATCGCCAGATTGTCAGCTATGGCAGACATGATTGCTGTTAGGGCTGTGGTGGCCTTGTAATGAAAAGGATCTAAATCTAACTCCCTTTCTGCTCTAGTCTTACAGTTTATTTTGGAGTGGACAGAGATAGCAGAAATGCTGATGAGAGTTGCAATGTAAATAACCAGTTGTGCTTCTTGGGTAGCATGTGAGGGGAATGTTAAGCAAATGAGCCCTCGGGTGCTCGTCAGTCAAACAGGAAAAGCAAGTTTTCGGTTTGCAAGCACACTCTGATGTTAATAAATCGTTGCCTTTGCCAAGAAGGGGTGAGTATATCATGCACAAATAAGTTAAATGCTTGAAGAATTATTAGAATGTCTTAAAAAGGAGTGTGTAAAGCCTAAGGATTGTGGTTTCCACTAAAATGAGAGGTGGTATCTGGGCATGGGGAGATGAGAGTTGTGCGCATGGGCAGCTTGCTGAGTGCTGCTGTTCCTGCATGGGAGTGTGTGGATTCATTCACTGGAGTGTAACAGCTTTTTTCTGTGCAGCTTGCAATGGCCATAGGCATTGAAGTGTGTTCTCTTCCCATTCACTTAGGTACTTTTCAGCGTTGTCAAAAGGTGAGACCCCTCCTGTGAAGGAGAGGCTGGAAATGCCTTTAGCAATGGAGAAAACAGATGCTGGTTTGACCCTAGGACTCCTTAAAGTCTTGCACAAACAGGTATAAAGGAGCCTTTACCAAATGCACAATCCTGTCAATGACTGCTGATGTGTCGGGTTTGGTTGGGGAAACTGGTTGTCAAGTATCTGGTGTATTTTGGGGAGGGAAAGTGTTCTTAGTTTCATTCTGGTTTTCAGAGTTCTTACTGTGGTACCATGATTTTGTTTAAAGCTTTCTCCCAAAGACATGGTGAATGTTGCAGAACTGAAGGAGAAATGGAAGCACTTGTGCTTGCCAGAGGAGCAACTACAAGTTATCCTGCAGTTGGATGACTTTGGCGAGGAGGTGGAATGGATGAAGTTTCTGGCACTTGGGTGCAGCATGCTCGGCAAGGTATGTTAACAGCAGCAGCAGCAGCCCTCGTATCCAAACGCAAATGGTCATATATGATCATGTCTGAGGTAGATCACAGAACAATTGGACTTGGGGATTGCTTTTGCAGCAGCTGGAAAAGTGGCCTGTGTGTTTACTTCTGTTCCCCATCAGCTTTTGATCAGGAAAGCTTAACCAGAAAGGCAGCTAAGTCCTCAGCTTACTGGGAGGGCATTAGAAGAGCAAGCATGTCTGCAGGGAGCTTGGACCATGAGAGAGAGGATCATAGAGGAATAATGTTTATGGCATCAAATTAATGGTGCTTATGGCATCAGTATAAATGTCTGCGAAGGAGAACTGGAGGGAGAAATTAAAACATCAATTTATAATTGATTGTGCAGTCAATTAAATTTTCACAGAAGCAGTTAATGTTACTAAATCTAAATTTAATTCTTTTAATGTCAGTAATAAAATCTCAGCAGAGCATTTCAACAGAATAAGCGATTATAAAATGCTCTAAGATGATGATTTTATGAAGTATAATGCTGCTAATGATTTCTGCAGTAGGGAAGAAGGGGTACTAAAAAGAAAGTGCTTATTAGATAATATTTTGACAATCTTGCAATCTCTGGAAGTCCTGAATGTTGACCTGGCCAGACGATGGAATGATGTGTGTGTGTGTGTGTATACATAGATTAATTTCAACTGTGTATTTCTTGATTCCAGTCCCACCCCCCAACATGATTTTGTATTTTGGGCTCTTAATTAAAAAAAGTAACAGCAATATTACTTATTAGAAAAAAAATCAAAACCAGAGTGACAGGAACATCATTCTGATGGAGATAAGACAGGCTAAATTTACTTCCATCTATCCATCCTTTCAGATATTAAGTCAATTATTTGATTTCAGCTCTATGTAATGAAACCTAAACTTCAGTTTCCTAAACCAGAGAGGAAGACACACACAAGGAATCTTTTTCCTTAGCTGTAAATTATGCTTATTGTTAAATAAGGTCACAGTTAAGATACAAGAGTAGACAAGTCTGAACTTCATAAGAACACCGTTGATCTGAGGTATCTTTCTGCAAAGCACTGGTGTGTTTTCACAGCCTTGGAGAAATGACCACGCAGGTTAAATTGTCTTTCAAAGGTGGCAAAAGCAATGTAAATAACTTTGCTGCATTGTGAGAGAGCAGCCGCTTGGAATGGCAGGAGCGGCTGTAGAGGGGTAGCAAACTGCAGGGGGTAGATAGAGTCTGCCATCATATAGGCAGCTGCCTCTCCTTCCCCAGAAAGGCCACCCAGGGGAGGAACTACACTAGATAAGCTGTTCAAGGATTATAAACTGTCCCTCCTCTGGCCTGCGTTCTACATATTGAACAGATACTGTATTTATTTAAAATATTGCTGTTCTACCCTTACGAAATACTTACCTTTTTTCAAAGGCATTGCTTGCTTGTTAATGAATAGGAAAGGGTATGTTTTGAAAAGATTATAGCAAAAATGTTACAAATTGGGTTAAAAAAGGCCTCTGTGTGTGATTTTTTGTTCGTTTTAATGGCATCCAAACAGTCTTTGACTCAGTGAAGCTCCATACTGAATTTTTCCACGTATTTCCCCATGTAACTCAGCACCCATTGGGCACTTTGCTAGGGCAGTGTACTGAATAAAGGATTTTTTCAAAGTATATTTGGAACTAATACCTTGAAGCATGTTTGTTTTTAAGGGAACTTGGACATTATTGGGCTTTGACTAAACTGGAATATGTCTGAAATGCTTTATGCCTTAGAGCTTTTTCTACTAACTACTATAATGGGACTTGCACACAAATAAGGAAAACAGTAAATATCAGCACTCCTAAAAGTTAATATCATATCATATTATAATGTCATAATAAAAATCAAACCACTAGCAATTTTCTGGGTTTTGTATATTTTTCTGTCTTAACTGCTGCTGAGGACTCGTTTAGATCCATTGAGATAATAAGTACACGTATCTGTATCACTAGGTATAGTGACGATGGAGCTTTTACAGCAGCAGAACAGAGAGCAATTTGGCCATATGGGAGCTAGGGCTCAGGCTACACTGTGCGATCTTTAAACATCACAGGATTCTGGTATTTTTTACTCCTGACTTTAGTAGAACTTCATTACTGTTTCCATCCCTGGGCCTGCACTGGAGGGTACATTTGAGGTTGAAAGCTAGGCAACAACGACAAAGCCTTCATCTTTTACACTCTTAATTGCTTACAGTGTGGGTTTTGTCATGGTGTGCAAAGGATGCTCGTGGCTCTGATACTGTTCCTCTCATTTCTTGACTGAACCCCCCTGCAGTCCTTGCTGAGTTCAGTGAAACATGCCTGTGAAATCTTAACAAAGGACCCAGAAGGTGGAGCAGCTCGCATTCCCTTCGAAACGTTCTCATTTCTTTACTCATATTTGGCCAGTATCGATGGAGAGATACCAAAGGAGGAAGTTGAAGTATTCCTCCACAAAATTAAAGAGGAAGCGTAAGTAAAAATCCACACATGGAATTTTAATGTATTAGTCACCTCTGGGTTCTCCATAGACCTTTAATTTCAGGTGAGTAGTCTATCTTCACTTTGGATGGAGTCATGACGACAGGAGTAAAGGTTGACTGAGGTTCTGCCACCATCACTGATGGGCTCAGCCTTGGCCAGTGGCGGGTCCCTCTTTTAGACCGCGGGGCTTGGCTCCCATCGGGGCTCCACTGGACATGGGGGAAGCTTCTGGCAGCTTCTCACAGAAGCCACCCTTGTAGCCCTCCCACTACCAAAACCTTGCCATGCAAACACAGGTCCACAAACACAGGGGCTCAGAAATGCACAAGCACATAACTGAACTGATTTGTTTTGTGTTAATTACCAGTGTGACAATTTATTAGTACAAACCAATTTTTAATCACCCTGCTCTGGCTTGAAATTAATATAACCCTCAATTATCTTGTCCAGCACACTAAGATTTACCATGTTCCAAGTGTTGTTCTACAACATTTAATTTATTCCTTTCCAGGGACAGACAATCTGGCATGGTGCTGCTCAGAAACTTCCTGAGCCAGGCCTCAACACTGTTTTGATCAAGCCCACTCTTCAGCACCAGGTGAGAGAATGGAAAAAAAGGAAGAAACAAACGTGCAAGAAAATAATCTGTGTTCAAAGGACTGTTATTTGCACATTACATAAAAGATGACCCTCTCCTGGCACTTTCTTTTCTTTATCCGACTCCTGAACTCTTCCTTCAGTGGCCCTCTCGAATATTAATGCTCACACCTAGGGAGTGATACCTTCACTCACCTGTTTATATTGAGAAAAAGGTATTTTGGCATGGCTCTTCCTACTTATACTTTGTGAGTGACCGTAAAAAAAGCAGCAAACCACAGAATTAAACCGAGAGAAGACCTGTCAGCTGTACTTGGTGCATTTCTCATTACACTTCTGCTAGCATTAACCTTTTTTTTTTTTTGACTCTTACACAAAGCTTGTCTTTTGACTACCTTGTCTGCATGAATACGCTATCTCAAATGAATAGTTCTACCAAGCCTCAAGGGAAGTTCACGAGAACCCTGTGGCTGAGCTGGTAGAAGAAACATGAACTCAAAAAAGAACTGCAATGGTTCCATATTGGTTTCCCTCTAATTAGGACCCTTTCATAACTTAAGTAAGGCTCTTTTTCCATTCTTAGATAGACTTGTCTAATTCAGGATCTGCTTCAAAATACATCTTGTTTTCTGACAAAGCTACTGCATTTGTCATGTAGGTGAGGAATGAGTTCAGTGTGGTTTTGAGCTGGATAGCTGCAGTAGGCAGAGAAGTCTAAATCTTCTAAAAACTAGGCTTTTTAGTGACACCTAATCAAACTTAATTGCAGAAACGGTCGAAGTAAGAGACAGGACACAGTAAAACTAGAGAGATTCCACTGACAGCAGTGGCCAAAACCAGGAGCTTGTGGAGTGCCCTCTCCTGGCAACTCGATCAAACAGAAGAGTGTTGTAGGAAAGATGAGTCTGAAAGCTTGTTCTTTTATAGTTGCTTACTTTGTTGAGGTACCAAGCTTGGCTGATGATGACTGACCTTGCTGTAGTAGATTGTGTGAGGAATTAACTGGAAACTGATATAATAAATACCTCACCGAAGTTAAGTGAATCTTCCTGCACGCCCTTAATATGTACCTGCATATCTTAAGTCTTACAAGTTTTATCAACCTCTAACACTTACATGTTAGTCTACAGGATGGGAATTCCTCCTAGTTATTTCTAGAAGTAAATGGGTATGCACCTGGTGTTTGAGAATGGCAGTCAGCAATGTATCCTTGGTGCCTCCCCACTAGTTTCTGTAGAGAGCTATATTCTCATCATCTTTGCCAGATGACATTGATCCTCGATTTCTTTGAGCATGAGGAACAGCTGGGAACAGCAGCTTTCCCATTATGGTCCTTTTACCATTAGCTGTGGTTGAAGACACTTCAGCCTGTTGGAGAACTCTGAAATGTGCCCTCTCCCCTCTGGTTCATATGGTAACCAGGCAGCAAGTGCTGTCTTTCTGGAACCCTGCTCCCAGAGGTGACAGTGTCAGGTGGGAGGGTACGAGGGGAGCTCTCTGCATGCCTTTTCCATTTGTAATTGATCCCAGTCTCCAGGGTGTAGTACTATACCCACTGTGTGCAGGCCAGGAAGGCAAATTAGTACAGCCTCTCCCAGATTTCATTCTTCAGCCTTGTGAGGCTAAACTCAGTATTGTCTCATAGATGAGATCAATGTTATTAAGAGATGCATTGGTGTCACAGTTATACACATTTTCTGATGTACACTGCTTCCATCCTGACAAACCGTAATGCTTTTAAGTCTCCCAGCATAGCCGTGATGTAACACCAGTATTATGTACATAGCGTTACTGTCCCTGGCACAACAGCAGTAATGATAGCTCTTGTGCAAGTCATTTTCTGAACAGCTGACAAACAAAATAATCAGGTTCTTGCTTCTACTTTCTTCTTTTATGGTTGTGATACTTCTCTTCATCCCTGAAACAAAACCACAAACATTGTGTGGGCTGTTAGGCTCTGACTGACAGAATCTGAAGGAAAAAAAAAACACTTGGAAAATGGAAAGTGTTCGTTAAATGTAATGATGCCTTTTTCTAAGGAAAAAAAGTAAACTACTTTAAGGCAGTTTATTTCCTATGCTGTTTAATCAAAGCCTTGTCATGCAGTGCCATAGTGGCAATTAGTTTAGGATGAATGGCATCACTGGGAAAAGAAGCCAGTTTTGAGATAAGCAGTCATCCCCTCCTCTGCAGTTACCTACAGCATTTCTTCCATACACACCAGGGACAATGAAGCATTTCTGCTGCCCAGCAGCTTAAGTCTTTGCTCACACACAGGTCCCACACTCCTATGGACTTGCAGGTGCAAATATGCCCTTGTTGATGGCATTAGAAGTGTGGCCTAAATTTTTCTTTTGCCTAGAAATATATCCGGAACTACTGAAAAAAAGCAACACTGTTTTAAAGCATCTACCTTTGAAAAGCTACTCAAGTGATTGTGTGTATATATGTATTGGTGAAAACAAATAATCTTACTGATTAAGTCAAGACCCAGTGCAAACTAGAGCAGAGATCAGCATTACACATGACAAGCATACATCACTGGTTAAACAGACAACATGTACCCCTGTGCCTATGTTGGTCAAGGAGTAAAATAGCCTGTGACAGTACTGTGCTAATCCTGCAGCATGCAGCTCAAAGTGTCACCTTTCAGATGTGAGGGTGAATTCTGGATCACAGTTTATGATCTCAGCATGTTCTGTTTAGCATGAGTAGTTCCATGCCGCTGGCTTGTTATACAGTGTGGAGTTGAGCCTAGCTTTTTAACTGAAAAAGATACTCCAATTCTCTGCACTAATTTCTTACAGACAATGGCTACAGCTGCCTGATTCAGAGGCACACTTCAACTGTCACCATGTCTGCTCACCTCTCTCTTTTTCTCCGAGAAGCTCTGTCTTTGCCTCTTTCACGACTCCTCCTTCGTTTACTTGGACTCCTGCTGCTCTCTCTCCTGTGCCTGGTGCCTTCAGTATCCTTAAAGCTTCCTCCAGACTGCCGGGAGTCCACCGAAGCTGACCGCCTGTCTTCCTTCCTGAAACAAAGGTTATTGAGTCTATTCAGTAAAAACAGTTTCACAGCACCACATATAATGACCCAATTATGGTTTAAGTCAGAGGATGGATCTTTTATTAATGCTCTCCATCTCCCTAAGAAACACAATACATCCCCAAAAGGCCCAAAGTCCATGCTGAGAGGTACGTGCACCTCTCAGCACACTATTTCATACAGTTCTTACAAACACTGCCCCTCAGTCTTACACTCTCTGCTCATGAAACAGGAAGCAGTAGAAAGGGTTCACCCCATTTGGCTTTCAGTCCCTAACTCTTCAAAACCTGCCATAAGCCACTACCTACAGCTGGAGAACCCAGCAAGCCTGATCTCCTGTACGGCCTTTTCATTCACCTTCATTCTAATGCTGAAAACAAACACTTCGAGTGTCACCATTTAGTTTGTTTCAACAGCATTTTCATCTCAAAGATCTCCTGAAGAAGCACAAATAGAATACTGCTAGGTCATGACTCCATCTTCATTTCAGTGACAAATGTTTGGAACAGTGTGCAGTGTTGCTTGACACAGGCAGATAAATGTATAAACAAAACACGCTCCCAGTTAGCACAACAGCATTCACAGCAGTAAGAACTTTAAAGGGTCCTCATGTTTAGTAACTCAGAAAAACCTTTTCTCTCATATAATTTATATCACCACAGCATTTCCTGTCATGTGGTAGGGAAGGGGAAGAAATTCTCTCTTTCTGTCTCCAGCATATGCGTTTGGACACAAGAGGGAGCACTATTCATTCCCCAGCTCCACCAAAACCTACCTGTTCACCTGCATCACTTGGAACTTACCTTCTTACCCCTGAAAGCAAGCTAATAATTCCTTTTTCCCCCATCCCTCATAAAGGCAGAGCTTCTCAAGCAAGAAATTAATAGTATTTGTATAAAACAAACTGTGCATGTCTCAGCCAAGGTTGATACGTGCTACTAGAAGAAGGTGGTAGGATACAATTACAGGTTATCAACCCACTGACATGCCTGAGGAATTTGTCAACTGTGGCATACCTTCCTGCAGATTTTGACTTCCCTCCTTCAGACATCTCTGCATTATCCAGCCTATTCTCCTCCTGCCAATGATTGCTGAGTTCTTCCATATGCACACCAATCACATCCCGGATCACCTGGAGATTAAGATATAATAAAAAGAAGTAAGATGAAAAGCAGCATGTTATGGTACTGGCCTGAATTTGCAACTAGACAGCAGAAAGCAAACATCTCCCCCAAAACCTGTACATTGGATATTTGAATGGAAAATCTTATTTGCAGAACAGGTATTTCAGCAGAAATTTAAATAGCACCATTTTACAATAGACATTCAACTACATCTTGCTGCCCTTTTCACATTCAAAATGTCATAGTCAGAAACGCTCCCGTTATTTGTAACTTGCTGCAACAAACAAACAGATTCCTCTACGGTTTGTAACTCTAATAAGGCAGGGTACAAGAAGTGGAAAAAGACAGACATTTTCTTTGTGTGAAAGGGTACAGCAGATACCCTTGTTTATGCTGTTAAAAGCACTTTTGTGCAGAAAGTCCTTATTTTCAGATCTCACCTCAGTGTAAGACTTCTTTGTTATATGAACGTTCTTAGCTCTGTATGACTGCCGCCGCCTTTTGTAATCTCGCATTTCAGCCAGAATTTCAAGGTGGGACTTGGGACCTTTCTGACTATCATCTAGTGAAAAATGGGAAGTAAAACAGATGGTCATTAGCAGGACATTAGCACCTACACGAATGCAAGTCTGGGACTCTAGTGATAAAAGTCTGAACTGAACAATATATTGTGTTCTTTCTGAAGTTCCCCTCATATTTAGTAACCATTATGAATTCAGCACAAGCTTTGTCTCCAGCCGTCTTGCTAGCTGTTTACACAAGACTAAAAAGCCACTGAGCAAATCTGTTATGTGATCTCAGTCTCCCAACAGTGATCTAAATCAACATACGGGCTTGTAATTTGGTCAAACACCTACAAAATATGGGCTGTGTCTTCAAAGCCGGTATTACAGTAAGGCACAGAGACTGAGAAGGCCAGATTCTGTAAGTCATTTACCTGTGTAGATCACAAACACTATCTCCCACCTCCCCGGCAGAGCAGGGCCCACAGGGTAACAGAGGTGCTTATGTCGCACTTGGTACAGTTACAAATTGGCATGACTCAACAGGGATGAGAGGCCTCGGTCCAACACTCCCATTTGTATATTGCTCAAGAGCTCCATCGGATGACTGCCAACCTTTCTTGTTCGGCTTTTACTCTTAAGTGCTCTTTAATCTCATCATCTCTTACAGCAAATACTGTTCTGAACTGTGTGGTAAGTTGGCTACATCAAGCAACCTGTCAGTTGCAGCAAAGACAAAAGATTCATCCACTAAGATACACAATACATGTGCCAGGAGCAGAGCACCGAGGCACTCTCAGATGAAAAACAACATAAAGGATACCAAACTAGTGTTTTCAGATGCCAAGCCTTCATTGAGGCTTTTAAGAAAAGCATGCTTTTCACAATAAACTGTTCTGCTTGGCTTGCAACAAAACTCATCTAACTACACAAAATGAAAGTTCCAAGACAGAATTCAACAACAGATAGTTCTTCAAACCTTGAGTGATTTTTGCTGCTAAATCCACAAAGAGGTCACTGTCGTTTTCTGTTATTTGGGATCTAGACCTCTGTTTCTTTGTTTCCTCAACAACATAATCATAAAGAGCAAGGCGATCAGCTTGAGTCAGGTCACAGGTGAAACGCTTGTGATTTTGGGGAACTTCTACAGGTAGTAATGAGTAAGATCCTAGAGGTTGAACAAACAGCTGTTATTAGTAAAATAGCATAATTGTAGAGGAAAACACAGAAGCTCAACAAACAATAATGCAGGAAACAGCCATGCTTTTTTCACCCTTCTCCTACATTCCTGTGAGAATTTTCATCCTTCTTAATTTGAAAGCATAAAAATTGCTCAAAGGAAAAAAAAAAAGGCCCAAATCCCTCCCCAGCTCTATGCAAGCTGTGTAACCTTTCTTGCTTACACTCTTAGTTACAGGTTTTCATACACTTTGAAGGGATCACATTAAAGTAGACCAAAAGGACACTCTTTATGGTCCCATCAATTTCAGCTCATGGCTTACAAGAGAGGAGGCACAAGCTCCAACTTGTGCGTTTGTCTTACTCCTAAAATTTTCTGTAAAGTACCATCTGCAAAATACCTGCTCCTCTGCCAATGAGAATGAAAGCTAGGAGACTAAATAACTGGACACTGCAAATCAGTGTCACTCACACTGTTACTTTCTATTAGAGGCTGCCACAGGCATTTCTAGCTAAGAAGGCTACAAAGGCACTTTCAAATGCTCCAGATTAGTTCAAGTAACTAACTGTAATGTTATGAAAATACACACAATGCCTGCATTCTTTCCCTGAATGATCAGCCGAGTACTTGCTCTTCATATTTCCCAGTTAAAACATATATCCTCCAAACAAACAATAAATCCATTCTCAATCCATTGCAACAGCAGCAAAGCGACTTCCGTAAGGATACAGGATACAGTATTATAGGATATTGCCTGCAGAAAAGCATTTTACTCGAGGACATTCCAATTCCCAGCAACCCCTGACCTGATCTCCCTAATCCTGCTCCCCACAATGCGACCTTCTCCCTGCAAGGGACAATCCCACACAGACATACCCAGACAGACAGAAGAGCCAACATGGAAGATACGATTTATGCAGGAGCCTGCACAACAGCAGAGCTACTGCTTCTCTACATTATTCAACACCTAACAGAAGCTGGGCTCTCTTTCACCTCCTGCTTTCACTAAAGACACCAAACAAGAGAAAGAGGAGCCACAATAACTATGCAACAAACCTAGAAGACACGATTTTGTCATTACTGTACTTGAAGCTGAAACCAGAACTTTCCCAGTCCAAACTAACAGATTCAAACATGAAAACAAGAATTTAATTTTAAAAATGCACTGTTCTTACAGGGTCATGGAAGCCCGTAAAAATGCCTTAATAGTTAAGTGCTTGTAATTTTGCAAGACTTTTACAGGTTGTGATTAATACCAGCTTTCCTGTACCATTACAAACCTAGCTTAAGGAAGACTTTAAATTAGACAAACAATACTAAGTCAGTAAATCTTACAACAGGCCAAGATACCACAATGAGAACTACCGTAGGACAGTTTTAGTGTTATCTTCAGAGAAACACAAGCCTGCAGTAAAAACTGGGTAGCAAACACTAGCACCTAGTGGTTCACAGATGTACCTTTGCAATGCACCACTTGATAAAGGGTTTATCTGTTTCTTCTCTACTTGGACGTGTTTGTGTCAAATTAATGAGTGACCACTTCCCTCCAGAGGAAATGCACCAGATGTGCTCCAAACATGAAAGCTCCTTCCCAAGCAACCGCCTGTTAAGGTCCTGCTTGCTATGCCAGAGAAACAAAGTCAACATGAAAAGCTATGCCTGAGCACGTGCTGCTCTATTTGACCATCAGGAAAGTATGGACACACTTTTCTGTCTGCACATACATGTTTGGCAAACTAAAGGACTACCAACAGTAAATGCTGTGTCTTTCAGGTGTTGCACTAACTTCCTAACCATACGCTGCAGCTCTACAGTGGTTTCTATAGGCACTCCTACTCTTCTGCTCTGTCTCAGTCTGAACCTTCAAAGCAAAGCACAGCTGACTCTTAACCTGGTCCCCAGACTGGTCACAAAACCCGCAGGAAAATGAAACAGAAAGGAACTAACGAGCAGTGGCAAAAGACAACATGTTTGCAGATGCATTAACATATTTCTTGTACAACTTCTTAGGACAGTCTTGAAACAATCCAGTATAATAATACATGTTATTTAGGTTTTGATTCGAGGAGTGGTGGATAAGCACATACAACTTATGTCCAGTAATTAATTCTTGAACAAAACATTACATGAAGAACCATCACACAAAGAACAAGGCTGAATGCAGCATTAGAATAGTTCAGGCCACAAAGCGCAGAAGGAAACGCAGTCAGAAAGTAAAGCAGATAGTGGGATGGGAAATGAAGGACTAAGTGCTTTAAGAAACTACCGAATTTTGCAGTTTTGATCTTCTAGTTCTCTCTGCAGAGAACTAGTTCTCTGCAGAGAACTAGAGGTGTGAGCACAACAGACTCAAGTTCTCTTATCAGGTTTTCTCTCCAATTAATTTCTCTCCAAGCAGAAAAAGTAGTTATGCTCCAAAAAACACAGGGAAGGAATATTAAAAATAAGTTAAAAAAGTCTCATAGCAGTTCACAAGCGGAATGAGGAAGCTGCGATGGCGGAGACAAGAGGAGCTCTCTAAGAGACCTGATAAAGTTGCTTCAGTGTCTGCTTGTTACTTACCTTCGCTGTAGCCTGCACCTTCTTTGGCACTTTGAGCTCTAGCTTGTTTAACAATGTGAAACTGTAGATCTTTATCTGCAGACACAGAAGACAAAAATATCACAGAACTTTTACATGGAGTACTTGGTAGGGGTAGTCTTTATTCCCCAACTTCTATTATGAGACTTATGGTACGTTACAGAACATTGTAGTTTATTCATGCAAAAGGGAAGGTCCAAACTAAAAATATCATTTCAATCTAATCCACATTTGAACTGAGGGGAGGGGGAAAAAAGTAACAAAAGGATTTCTGAGTTAAAGGGATATGGGGATATGGAAAAAGACATGCTCGTATGTTGCAACTCTCTTCCGTACTGTTTATATACCCCCAAACTCTAGGGCCAGTTTTTCCATCTTCTAAGCCTGTGTTTTAATTCACTTCCTGCACTCGGTACAAGGAGAACATAGGAAGAACCTAGAAAACAACCTAAGAGGAAAAAAACATTCCTCCTTGGGTGTCAAGATGAAAATAACCAAGTGACCTACAGAGCAGAATTCCACAGCGACAGAAGCATGACAAGGGTAAAACAAGACAAATCACAATAGTGAGAAAATAAACCTACTGATGGAAAACTCCCATGTTTTTTAGGAGGCCTGACAAGGCTGACAAGGCATTGGGGTGTGCTACTGCAAGGACCCAGACTCTGCCCCATGGGGTCTCCCTTAAACGCCATCCTCAGCTTCTCCCAGCGACCTCTTTGCAGACCTATCCCCTGCCCCTCCCTGATAGTCTCCCCTCGGGCATCTCCCCTCAGCCCCTCATCCTCCGCGCCTCCCCTGGGGTGTCCCATCGGTCTCCCCTCAGCCCCAGCTGTCCCCTCCCCGAGGCGGGTTCGGCCCCCGCTGCCGCTCACCCATGGCGACGGTGGGAACCTTCAGGTTTTCGTAGAAGAAGCTGCAGTCGTACATCTCGGCCTGCGGGAACAAGCGGCGCAGTCAAAGCCCCGGCGCCGCCCCCAGCGACACCAGCTCC